TTTCATAACTATCATCACTCGCAGTATGTTTTAATGATTTCATTGATAAAATCAATTCATTTTGTTTTCAATGATTTAGTTTTAATCAAAACTTTGGTGTTTTGGGAATAATGGACAAAATTCATAAAACAGACAATCTGTTCCGCAAATCAAAGGAAAGTCAAAGACATAAATGGCTTTTGACTACTAAACCATCGCAAGAAGTGTTTCAATAGTTATATTTGTCTTTTTTAATTAATGCTTTATTTTAACAAAATATTCATAAACATTTACTGTACAAATATTTAAACACATTTATTGTTGTCGTAATAATGATAATTACAAGTTTACAATACATTAATTGCGAATTACTTGACATCCTTCCGCTCTGTATTTTTAATTTAAATTATTTTCAATTGTGAATAATTGTGAATAGTTTATAAAAATTATAAACTTAAAAACACTAATAAATTGGTAATTTTAAAATAAAACGTTATTAATATTTCGGGATTAACTGCGATTAAAGCTAAAAATTAAAACAATGAGTGAATATATTGATAAACGACTTGTTTCAGTCGTGATTATCATTATATCTATACTATTCTGGTAAACAAATTGTTTTTATTTAAAATTAAATGATTTTTTAATTTCAACTATTAATATAAACAATTACATGGTATTTAAAAAGTTTGTGGAATCCATTCATTAAATACATGTATGGCTTATGGGACGAAATGGTTGATATTTTTATCAAGTATGATTTGAAGATACAACACCATGGTACATTTATTTGGTCATTCAGTGTTTACTGGGTATCAAGTCTTACGTATTCATTCATTGACTTATATCGATGGCCCGCTTGTATCTACAAATACAAGATTGACAAAACATATCAAGTATTAAAATGCATTTTATATTCAATTTGTTTGAAATGTTGAGTGTTTTAAATATAGGTTACATCAAAAGACTTTAGTAAAACCATGAAGGGTGTTGTGCTCAACCAAATAATCATATATTTGGGACTCTATTTGTATGCCTTTAAAGTGTTATTGAAACACGACTCTAAAAGTTGTTCAATTAATTATTGGAGATTTTTATATCAACTCATGTTTTGTATGGTTGTCGAAGAGTTTGGCTTTTATTCCTCTCACCGATTATTACATTTAAACAAATTATACAAATATGTTCATTATAAACACCACGAGTACACCACTCCCACAGCTATTGCTTCAGCTTATTGTCACCCTTTTGAACACATTTTCTCAAATGTGTTTCCACTTTATTTAGGTTTTACTATCTATGCGTTAATCTATGACAAACTTACAGTATTTGTCATGTTTTAGGCCCATTGCTTCTCACATCACATTTGGCATTCCTATGGTTTTGGATAGCGTTCGGCACTTTAACATCAGTTCACACCCACTCGGGCTTTCATCTGCCCCTCACGGTTTCCCCACAGTTTCACGAATACCATCACTCGCAGTATGCCTTCAATCATATGCTTAATATAAGTTTTTCATACTTTGTCTTTCTTTTTAGTCCAAATCAAAACTTTGGTGTTTCGGGAATTTTAGACCAATTTTTCGGAACAGATCTCGTATTTCGCAAATCAAAACAATTTCAACGAAATAGAGTTCTCTATTCTCTTAAAACTCCCGACGAATTGATTCAATAAATGGAAAACATTTTTAGGTAATTTGTTTATTAGTTTATGTAAACTGTATATTTAACTATAATTAAATGTCACCTATTTAATATAAATAAAAATTATGAGTGTTTTAGTTGCTTTAAAATTATGTACAGAATATTTATTTAAATATTCAAACTTTTTCAATCTTATCGTATCTAAAAGTGATTTTTTCAATTAAATTATAAATGGTGTCAAACCATTCGGAAGGAGTTCTCTCTCCTAAATATATTAGAAATTTAATCACAAATCCATGAATTGTTAAATATCTTATTTGTGGAGAAGGACTCGTAATACTGTCTACAATATTGTCGACCACATCGTCGATACGATTGCCAACAAAACAGTCAATACTTTTGGCCATTTTGTCCATACTATCGAAATACGACTGTCCGTACACTTGCTTCACAGAGCTGTCCGTCAGTTCCCACTCTCTATCCATAACTCGTTTATAGTTATTATTAGCGAGAAGTGGTGTCCTATAGAATGCGGGCTCAATAGTGGTCACCCGAACCCCACAATCGGCCGACAGTTCACGTCTGAGAGCATCACTGAAGGCAGTGATCGCGTGTTTACTCATACAGTAATGACTCGTCTTCTGGAAAGTCATTCTTCCGTTAACTGAACTCATGTTTATTATTCTTCCTATTGTTTGGAAATATAAAT